GGGAAGGCGGATTTTGTCTTTTTTGTAGCACACAGAAAGCACAAATCCGTGGATATGTTTTCGGGTCGTCCTTGTTCTTTTCATAACAAGCAGGGATTATAAATTTTTATGGGGGATTTCCTATTCAACAGTGTTATTTCCTCTATAATCCTGGCGAGATTATTTCGAAAGAATTCCTTTGTAATCGTCGAAAAATCTTCGATAGCCTCACCACCAGTGATGTTTGTTGTTGCTAGATGTCATTTTTTTGGGCAGTACCTTCCTCATCCATCGCAAATGCTGTTGAACTTTAAATTGAGGGGATTTTTTATAGCGTACTAAGCTTGACGTTTTATGACACGTTCGCCCTTTGAAAGCAAAAAGCGTGTTTTCCTCTCTTATTGCTTATCTTCTCTTTAATTTAATCTTATGCAGTTTGACACATGCTCATCTTATTCCTGACGGGCAGGTGATTGTACTGATAATTCCCACTTCTACCCGCATGCAGCTTTCGTTCTCTGTTTACAGCTAAGAGATGAAACAGAAACTACATCCAAACATGTTTCCTTGCTTATGATATTTTGACTGATCCCTTATCCCCTACTCTATTATTTTTAGCAGTAGGAGAACCAAGCGATAGCATATGAGATGTATATACAGTAAATTCAATAATAAATATATTAAAAAAAAGTTAAGACAAAAAATAAGCGTAAAAATGAGGGGTGGGGGGTAAGTGTCAAATTGCAGATAAAGGTCAGGAAGGCATTGTCTTTGGCGCCAGGAATAGGGAATTTCAGTGGCTGCAACAAGAGGAAGTATTTGCATAGAAGCTATTTGTAAAAGGTCATTCCCATTCATGCATCGAGTGACCATTGTTTGTTGTTTTGTGGCTTTTGAGGAAGGGCGCTGATTTGGGGGGTTAATTTATGCCAAGTAGCCCTCATTTCCCTGGAATCTATTGTACTGGAATTAATGAGACTATCTGTAAAAAGGTCAGTTTTCTTCTGCCTACTCCGACCACCATTATTACTCGAGTGGGTGCGAATCCCGAGTTGTATCGTGGGGGGCTTTTTGAGCAAAGCTTTTTCGATTATTTGCTTAAATTCAGGGCAACC